ATATATATATATATATATATATATATATATATATATATATGTGTGTGTGTGTGTGTGTGTGTGTGTACAGTGTAAAACTGTAAAGTGTATTCACAGAAGAACAATTTATTCACCGTCATGTTGTTCCAAACCTGTATTATTTTTTTCTTTGGAACAACATTATCCCCATTGACTTTAATGGTATGGACAAAAAAGAGAGACGTTTTTCAATGAATCATTTTATGTGGTTTACTGAAAAAAAAAAAAGTCATACAGGTTTGGAACAAATAAACAATGACTGAATTGATATTTTTGGGTGAACTATCGCTTTAGCATGCAGTAACCCAAAATTAGTCATATGGCAAATTATTTTTATTTGATATGGTCATGTCATCAGACGTCATATGTATGTCAGTTTTTTTTGTTTTTTTTCAGAAAATAAGTCAAATCTGATTACTATTCACACCAGGTCAAAACTGAGTTGCCGAGAGAACAAAAACACGGTGTGCATTGGTGTGTAAGTCACATTTTATTATTATTTTCAGAAATAATGTAAAATACAGATAAATAAGACAAAACATTTCTGTACATTATATAGTTTCCCTCACTCCACAACTAATAATTTAATGGTATTCTGAACAGAAATATAAATCTAACTGAATTTATATACAGTAACGCAAAACTGAAACGACCTTTTTTGCACGTTTTGTGTGCTTGATGTTAATTGCATTATATATAAGTCATAGAATGTTTTAGGTGATTAAAAAAGTGCATTCTGGAAATAGATTTTCTGTACTGGCCCAGTATCTTTTTTGTTATGTAGTACAGCATGTATTGAAACTGGCAATGGAACAAGTCTAAATGTAAACCTTCATCAATACATTGATGCCACAAGCAAACCACCAGCTAAGTAGGACTGTTTGAATGTGGAGCAGGACTTGCACGCCTGACCCAATCATTAGATTCCCAAATGAATATCTATTGGATTAGTCTTGCTCTGTGTTAAATGTTAAATTCTAGTTTAACAGGGTAAAGTTGTAAGACTGTTTGATTCTTTGTTTGATTTAAGATAATTTGAATAGTGACTCATCCTGATAGCCATGATTTATTTGTGGTGCACAACTGAACCCCGAATTTGCATAACAAGATCAAACTTACATAGGAAGCTTTTCAGAGCAAAAATGTATATGCTGTATGCAACAGTGAGTGAAGCATTTCTGCACATCTCGCTTGTGTCTTGCTCTCGTGGTTACTCACTAATGTAACTCTTTAGTGTTGTGGCTACTGGCTATCTTTTCTGCTTTCTGCCATTAGATAGTGCAGTGCCTCTTCTTCGTCCTCCTGCTGTGTCCAACCACATGTTATTGTGAGCCGCTGTTAGCCCAGCCAAGGGAAACAGCACTGCTTATGGACTTGTTTTTCCTTTTGCACTCCATCTGTCTAATGTAATAGCACTCTGCATATAGGCACCTTGATTGCATGTTATGTTGCTGCTATTGCACTTGACTATACATCAATAATACAATACCTTTGAAATATAATTCTTAATAATATACTGAATATGACAATATATTAGCAATATAATGTAAGTATATTTAAATACATTTTATTATTAAACAAACACACAACACATTAATACTTTTTCCGTTTGGATTCTGTTTCTGTTTCTGTTTTTTTTTTATATATATATATATATATAATCCCCCCACACACACACCTTTATACTTTTTGTTCCGTTTCAAGCCCTTACTTCATATTTTACTTTATTTTTTCCCCTTCTTCTGTCCTCTCAAAAGCATTGTGTCGATTAATTAATAGCTGGCTAATTTAATTTTCCTAAAAGTAATAACTTGTTTAAGCACGAATAAAGAGTGACAAGACAAAGTCCTAATCTGCCAAAGTTTAATTAGTCTTAGCGAGGTTTGCATACAAGCAAACGGGGGTCAGGGGGAGAGGACATCTCAATGAATGACAACGGAACGAAGGGTAGAGCAGAGGCGAGGTGGTGGGGGTTTCCATAAACTCTGCCTGTCTGCTTCCATCCGTGCACACGATCAGCCTGCTCTCACACACAAGGGATTGTGGGATAGTTGGAATGTTGGTGTTAACTGTCAAACTGTTTTCCCACTGCTATTCTCCACACCTGTCACCCAGGGCAACCTATGTGTTGTGGCCAGAGCGGTTGGGCTCCCCTGGGTGGGTTTAAGGCATAGCCAAAGCTGAAAATCAATTGGCTAAAACTGTTATAGAATGAAGTGAAGAGCCTGCATATATTACAGATTTGCTTAGAGGGCCCTGGGGTAAATGAACAATGAGCTATTGACTGCTCTCTTACAATGACAACACTTCCGACATGGATTGGAGACTATTATTATTATTATTATTATTATTATTATTATTATTATTATTATTATTATTATTATTATTATTATTATTATTATTATTATTATTATTATTATTATTATTATTATTATTATTATTATTATTATTATTATTATTATTATTATATTAATACATTTAAATGAATTTATTATTATTATTATTATTTATTATTTATTAATTTATTAATTGATTTCAATTAATTTTAATTGATAAAATAGATTCATTAGTAGATTTATGAATAATTACATTGCATATATATATATATATATATATATG